GTTCTCATTATGGAGCACAGTTAACTGAGGAAGGAGAAAGGATAGTAGCGGAAGTAACTTCTGGTTCTGAGGGTTATATTACATCTTCTACCGCAGCTGTGATTGGAAAAAAATTCGAACAATCAGATAGTGGAATAGAGTCGAAAAGTTTCTTAAAAGAAGAAGCCGGCGAGGAAGGAGTAAGTGAGGGAATTATTGAGTTTTTTGTGGGCTAATTATTTGGCTAGATGAAAGTGCAAAAATTATTAGAGGACGATGAAACGATGAAAAGTAAAGAGGGTGGGGAGTTTAGACTCCCCCTATAAATATCTAATCCTAATTAAATTATTGGCAAAAGAAAGAATTAAAGAAAATTTGTCAATGCAAGTAAAACATGCTAAGTCAGTGGGAAAGAGTGGGGGAATTGTTTTTTTGCTACTTTTTATATTACGCAATAGGCGGTGGTAAATATCTAAAATATACTTATAATTCCCTTTAAGAATAACATTTATAAAAGTTAGGAAGTAGAAAAAATTCCTTTTTCTAAATATGCTATTATTGGTAGTATTTTTAGTATCAATTATAAAATTGATAACGTTACTAATAATCATAATACTACCAATAATAAAACCCAGTGAGGTTTTGGTTTAGGTTCTGCCATTATTCAAGGAAATACTGATTCCGGTTCTATTAACCAAACTCAAGAGGCTCAAATTCAAGTTTCTCCATCTAGTTCTTGACTTTCTTGACCTTTCGGGCGAAAGAGTTAAAAACGAATTTTTATTCATAACCTCAACATATAAAATTAGCAAAGTAAATTTTGTCTGTAAAAATAACTTAATTATACTTATGAATAAAAAACAATTTAGTTTCCCACCAGAGGAAGAAATCCAAAAAGTAATTAAAAGAATGACCCAACCGGGTTATCGCCGCATAAATAAAGGATTATTACCTAATGCTACTACTGAGGAAAAAATTAAATACCACCTTTGTCAAAATATTTCCCGCTATGCCCGTGAAAATAACCTAACTGAAAAAGAATTAAGCAAAAAATTGGGAATAGACCAAGTCAAAACCGAGTATCTTTTATTTAGTCATATTGACAGGTTAATTCTTGGAGAATTAATTGCTTACGCGGATAACCTACATATTCCGTTGAAAGTAGAAATAAGCATAACCAAAGATAATAATCAACATGGTCGCGAAACAACCTCCCCAAGAACCCACTAATACTATCACTCATAACTGCGACATAGTAATTTTTGGCTTGCTCCGAACCGTTTTAAAAATTAGTCCGCATTGTTGGAAGAGAAACGAGGAATTTCAGGCTAGCAAGAAAGCCAAGGTTAAGGAGAATTTGGCTAATTGGTTATTAGATAAAGAAGTAATTAAGAATTTGATTCAACAACTAAAAGAAAAAGAAGTATGGTTTGAGGGAGTAAATGCTAATTGTCCCGCTTGAAAATATTATGGTTATCAAGGAGCAATTGATTGAAGAAATGGAACAAAGTATTTAATAATTTTCCTTTTGGATGATAATAACCCAGAAATTATTGGGGTGATAACTGTTTATCCTTATGAATAGTTAAAGTTTAAGCACAAACGAAGATGTGCGAAAAGAGGAAGAAGAGGAGGGAGATTAACTCCCTTCCTCTGGACATTCTTGATGTTCGACCGATTTTAATCAGAAGTTTAAGCCGTAAGTGGTTAGATGACGACCTAACCTCTCCGAGAAAAATTCCTCTTTGTCGACCTCATTAGCATAATCACTAACATAAAGGCGGTAATTGCCTTTCAGAATATCCTGCTCCGTAAGATACTGTTGACAAATGCCACAGGCAAATTCCGATAAATAATCAGACTTGTTAAAAGTTCCTTGAAATTTTAATTCGATAGTTGCCATATTATTTAGTAATTTGCCCTCCGGGAATGCTTTGCATTTCTGTGGCTTGTTGGTTGTCAGCTACGGAGTAATTAGCCTTACAATTACCGCACTGATAAACCCCTAAACAACCTAGTCGGTTTTTATATTCGCAAGTTAAAAGTTCGCGACCTTGACGACGAATTTCTATTCTGGTGAATATCCGTTCTTGGTGAGCAAGTTGACTTTGGATATCTCGTAATTGAGTTTTGAGATAACTAACTTGGCTTTCGGTTCTTTCAAAAATAAGCCGGTAAAAGACTTTGCTAACCGCTTCAAATTTAAGAGTGAATTCCACTTTATCTTTAATTAAGTGTTCTAGTCAGTAAATTTCTTGGTTCTCTTTGGTTTTTTCAACTTCTACTGCTTCGGTTAAGAGTTTGGTGCTAAATCGATTTACTTCGGTTAAATAATTTGCTAATCTTTCAGATTTGGTTTGTTTAGTTTCTCAATTGCTTAATTCTTTAATAATCTTTTGTTCTTGCTGTTTCAGTTCATCAATTCGGCTTTCTACCAAGGTTTTTTTGTTTTTCGTATTTAGGAGGGTTGCTCCGTTATTATTTATGAAATTATTTTTCATAATGAAATGCCAACCTCGTAGAGTGCTATTTCCCAAATTGTTCACTGGGGAATTGATGAAAATTAAGTAGTAATTTTTCCACTTTTGGCTTGTTCACAAGGAAAAAGAGCAGGGTTTAAGTCAAAATGAATTGTTAAAAATAAAAACTTTCTAATGAATAATAATGGTAGAGTAATCTCTCCACGAAAAATATTAAAAACTTTTAGAAAGTAAAAAACAGCAAAGATTTTAAAGAATTGTTGGGATACTTACAAAAAAGTCCTAAAATTTAGTCGAAATAGAAAAAGGGAAATTAAGCCTTAGATTAATTGGGGTATCGGGGAAGCAGTGATAAAAAACTGCTTGGGCGATGAGAAATAAAAAAGCCAACAATAAAACTTCTAACTGTAAAACTAAAATATAACAGGAAACCCTTATAATAATCAAAAATAATATTATGCCAAAAGCCCAAGGATATTTTGAAAATACTTTCTCTATCAAGCGAGAAACAATTGAATATAATGGTTGAAATAAACCCGACCAAGAAAAATTAGAAGGAAATTTAGATCTAAAAGAATTTAAAAAGTTAAAAAAATTAGATATTCAAGGTAATAAAATCACTTCTATTAATCTTTCTAACTGTACTAACTTAGAATATATAGATGTAGGAGGAAATCCTTTAACCAATATTAATTTAACTAAAAATAATAAATTGAAAAAAATTAGTTTCGCGGATTGCCCTATTAACCAAAATTTAAATATTTTTTCTCATTTAAAAAATTTGGAATACTTAAATATCAACAAAACTCCATTCTTTGGCACCTTAAAAGTCTTGTCAGATAGTAAATTAAACGACTTAAAAATAAAAGAATGTTCTAAAATTGAAGGAGGTTGGGAGTTTTTGCCAACTACTTTAAAAAAGATTGAAAAAGACCAGAATAATTTGTTTGAAAATTTACGCGATTATCAAAATAATTTCCCTGCTTGGCGAAAAGACCACAACTTTTTACTCGACCGAATTAGTAAATTAGAGCAACAATTAATCGAACAGGAAAAAATAACTAACAAAGTATTAAAAGGAAAGGAACAACAAGAAAAGCAATTGGCAAACGAAAAGGAAACTTTTCTCACTACTGCTAATAAACTCAATAATTATATTTCCCAACTCGAAGAAAAATTAGCCGAAACTTCAATTAATGAGCAAGAAGCAAAAATAGAAACTCCTCTTAAAAAATAATCTAAACAAAACTCGGAAAACCCAATAAGCAACTTACTGCATGACAATTATTATCTATAAAAATATATCTATAATTCTATCAATATAAAACTAAAATTCTAGAATACTAAAATTATATATATAGATTATAAATTGTAAAATAAATATATGAAAGAAATAATAATAATTGAAACCGATAGCGGTCAAAAAATAAAAAGTCTGTTGGATAGAGAACAAGTGAATTACCAAATTGTCTACGACAAATTATTATCCAGTAGCCGTCAGGAAAGTATTTTTGTTAAATATGGTGAAGCTCTAAAAGATAAAGGACGAGAAGCCGAGGCGAAAGAGTTGGAAAATTCCGAGCAAGAGGATATAATTGATGAAGAATGGTAAAAGAAAAATTTACTTTGAATAAAGAAATTTCCTCACCAAGAGAAAATTTTCCACCCGCTCAACAGTGGGAAGTTTACAAGTTTAGGACTAGTCCCAAAGAAACCGAAGGAACTGAAATAATGAAATCTCGCCCGGGGATAATTATTTCCACTAATGAGTTGAATAAGTGAGGGAAAAGATATATATTTCTGCCTATCACTAGTAAGAAAGTTGATAAAGTTTATCCGTTTGAGATTTTTATTAATTTTCAGGGAAAACGCGGAAAAGCCTTACCCGACCAAATTAAAACTTATAGCCATAGCCGAATTATTAAGAAATATGGAATATTGAACCCGCAATATTATCCGGAAATAGAAAAAAAGTTGAAAGAAGTATTTGGTTGAAATAAATAATTTATGATTATTCTATTCTTATAAGAACTAATATGACCATCATTGCCTTTATTTCCCAAAAAGGAGGAGTAGGGAAATCTACTCTTGCCCGTGCCGTTGCCATTGAAACCACCAAACAGAAAATAAAAACCTTATTAGCGGATTGCGACCCCCAACAATCCACTAGTTATGAGTGAGCCAAGTTAAATAAAAAAATCAATTGCCAAGTATTCCAACAAGTTAAAGGTATTTGACCTTTAAGTAAACAATATGAATTAATAATAATTGATGCTCCCGCCCGAGCTAGTAAAGCCACTTTGGAAATTGCTCAGCAAGCCGACTTAATAATTCAACCAGTGGGAGCCAGTAATGATGATTTAATTCCCGCCGCGAAAGAGTTTAATGCGTTGGTAAAAGCCGGTATTCCGAAAAAGAAACTAATTTTTGCTCTTACTCGTTTATCCACTTCCAAAGAAGCCGAAGCAATTAAGGAATATTTAAAAGATACCGATTATAAATACTCCGAAACTTACTTGTATGAAAAAACTTCTTATAAACAAGTTCAGAATGAGGGAAAGTCTATTACCGAAACTAGATATAAGAAATTAGCCAGGCAAGCCAAGGAACTAGTAAATGAGCTGTTAAATAACCTATAAAACTATATATATAATTCTAACTTTCTAACATTATGCCAAATATCGATTGGAAAAATAAAATAAAACGCAAAGGACTGGGGCAAGCGCCCCAAGAAGCCAGTGAGAATATTAATAATCCTGAATTAGCACCAAAAGATAACCGCTTTACCGGACGGACTAAACAATTAGGGTTAAAGGTTAAACCGGAATTCCTAAAAAGATTAAAGCAAACGGCCTTGGAGGAGGATTGTTTTATTGTTGAGGTATTGGAAAAGGCTTTGGAAAGTTATGAAAAAGGACGAAAAAAATAGTATGGCAAAAATAAAATGTTTTTAGTGTTTAAAGTTAGTTTCGGAAACTGAAACGGATAATTGCGACAAATGTGACAAAAGTTTTTGTGTAGAATGCTTAACTTATCACGGAGAAAAAGATAGTGAGGGAGAGTTGGCTTTTTGTGGGAAGTGTGAGAGAGAATAAAGAGGGTTTTAAAGAGTTAAAATTAGTTTTCTTTTAATCATTTTTCGGTTTTTTCTTTTTCTTTTTGGTAGTCTTTTAATTGGGCTTCTAGTTTAGTTAGTTGTTTAGTGAGATATTTATGCTGGTTAGCTAGTTTATAGATTTGAGTATTTAAAAAACGAACATATTCTTTTTTGCGGGTGATTTCCTCAGGAGTGGGTTTTTTATTCATTAATGATTTTTTTCCTTAAACTCTCCATAATTTTCCCTTCATCACTTTTTGATTTCTTTTTTCTCTTTTTCAGTGGCTTTATCTCAATTTTTAATTATGGACTTAGTGAGGAGAATTTTCGCTTGTCGTTGAACTTGGTTGAGTTCTTGGTTTTTCATGCTTATTTGTTTGGTGGTTTAAAAGGTAATGGTTGTTCGATTTGGGCTTCCGTTTGGTTTCTTTCTTGCTCTAATTGTTGGTAATAGTTAATTTTACTTCACCGATAAAGACTTTTAGCAACAACTTTTAATTTACTTTCATAATAACTAACTTGCTTTTCCACTTTGGCTTTATCATTTAAGGCTTTTTGATAAGCATTTAGGAGGTTAGTGTGGTTTTGTTCATCAGTCTGAATTTGGTGTGTTAAATTAGTGATAGTTTCCTTTAAGGATTGGTTGGTTTGTTTTTCTGATTGAACCACTGCTTTTAAATTGTTGTTCTCGGCTTCTAATTTCCTTATTTTGGTTAGGAGAAAATTTTCTGTTTGATTTTCTTGCTCCTTTTGATTAGTAATTATCGGCAATGGTTCGTTTGATATTTTTGCTTCGGTAATAGAATTAGGAGAAATATCCTCTTGCGATTTAGGTATAATTCCGCTAATTATTGATTTCAGTTGATAATTAGTGAGGGGTTTGTCGCTTCTTTTAGTAAGTAAGGGCGGATTATCCCGATTAGTTGGTTTCTTGGGGAGAATTAGTGGATTATCCCTAATAATAGGTTCTGAATTCAAGGAGGGTAGTTTTGGAAAACTTTTTGCTATTGGATTTGGTGGTTCTTTCTCTCTACCCTCTAACCATTTTTTACCAGTTAAAATACCATCAATATCGCTATCAGGTTCTTGATAAATATTCCGTCAATATAAAGCAGTAGTTCTGATGCTTGAATGTCCTAATAGTTTTTGTAAAAGTGGTAGTGGTAAACCTGACTCTGCATGATAGGTAGCAAATGCTCTCCGTAAAGTATGTAGCGAGAGTTCAATATTTCCATCAATTCCCAACTCCTTTTTAACTTTCTTTAAAAAATGATAAAAATTTCAGCGATTAGTCTGCTTGGGTTGTCAGTGGTTTTTCCTTAATTCACTGATAACTTCTTTGGGAACATAAACTAACCTCTCCTTTTTGCCTTTGGACTTACTTATCCGATATAACCCTTGCTTAGTTTTCTTTTCTAAATCAAACTTTATCGCTTCACTAATTCTTAAACCGCTTTTATAACCTAGTAAGAATAAGCCGTAATGAACTCTCCTTTTACTTTCTTTACGCTTGTTAGGGATAGACCTAACCTCCTGACTAACTTTTTCAAGTAGTTGTAAACTAGGGAGCATATATAGTCATTTTAATTCTTTTAAAAGAATGAGTAAAAACTAACTAAACCTAAAAATCCTTAACTTCCCAAATAACTTTAACCGACCTTTAACCACTTATTTGGAAACTTTATTAATCTTTAATTTATCTTTATTTACACAATGGTTTTTTAGTTAAAAATAAGTTTGCAAACTCTTTTGATTTCTGCCTCTCCCTTTATTTTCTATTCGCAAAACTTTTTCAAGAACCAAAAGAAAAAAAGAGACACAAGAGATAAGTTTTAAATAGACTACTAGACACCCAAACCAACCCTTACCAAAGAAAATTAATAATAAAAGAAAGAGCGAAAATGGGACTTGGTGGATATTTTATTTATTCTATAAATAAAGGGCGAAAGGAGAACAAAAAAAGCGATATACTACCCCTATCGCCTCTCTTCGGAACTAAAATAAATATATAGGTTCGTAATCCCCTATATTTAGTTCTCATTTTAAGAGGTCGGCAAGTTTAAGACTTTTCAGTTACGGCTTTATATCAAAGCATTTCCGTTATTACTCTAACTAGATTACTAGTTTCATAACGGTCTTGTTAGGTTTACGGCTGATTATTGCCCTAGTTGGTAATCCTAACTAGTTTGTTTTGGTTGATAGTTCTGTCAACTTCTAAGTATGGCAAAACGGCAACTTAACTTCCGTATTCGCTCGCAACCAGTTTAGTTTCTTGTCCCAAGCTGGTTGTGGGAACAATGAGTTAATTTCCCAAAAAAAGAAATAAAGAATTTTCCTTATTTCCTTTGTTCGAAAATTAATTTTTTAAAAGGCGAAAAAATTCTCCTCCCCTCTTGGAAATAGATTAAAAAAGCGAAAAAAATCCCTTCTCTCTTTTTGCTAAACTTTAATTTTCTTTTGTTTTTCTTTCAAGGAGTAGTATATAATATTTCCCCTTGGTTAATTTGCTCGTTAACCATTTTCTTATTCGCTCAAAGAAGCCTGATAGGCTACTAGGTAGGTTAACGAGCTATTTTCCAATAACCTATTGACCTACCAAGCCTCTTTCAGCGGATAAGTATATATTATGATTTTAGGGAAGTGCCGGACTTCCCTGATTTTTATTATAGTTATTTGATACCTTCGCTACCAGAATTGCCATCATTATTGTTTATTAAGTTCGCATCTACTGTTTTTAATACTTCTTTCTTTTCTTCTGCTTGCGAAAATTTTTCTTGATTTGTTTGTGGTTCTTGAATAATCTCAGGAATTTTTGTTTCTAGATTTTCTCCTAGTGTTTGTTGTTTTGGTTGAAGTGTAGGAGTTTTTCCCAAACTATTTAATTTTTTTAAAACTTTGTCGACTTTTCCTTCACCTTCTAATATTTGGTAATTGTTGGTCGAAGTTTTAATTCCTTCGATTTCAGTGCCATCTGGTTTTGTTATTTTGTATTTATTACTAATTTCAATTTTCCCTTCAATGTATCTAAATTTGACTTTTTCAGTTTCTTTTTGGTTTATTAATGATTGATTATTATTTTGACTTTCTGCCATATATTTTATTACTTGTTAATAATTTGCTTAATAATTTACACACTTTTTAATCTTTCCTATCCAAACTATTCAACAATTTAA